ATGCAGCTGTTTTTTATTTTATTCTGAATTGTGTGGGTTTTTTTTTTCAAATATCATAGTTTGCTCACAGTTTCTGAAGTATGATGATCTACTGACGGAAGACTCGTTCATGATTGTGTTATATGAAGCCAACTCCGCCCCTTTTATGTAAATACTCGCAAGAAACTTTTGGTCGATTCATCAGGTCGATAGCCAGCTCGTGTGAGCATTTAACTTGATCTCTTATTTTAGGGTGTATCTCACCAAGTGTAGCGAGATAACCCAAATATACCCATGTTATGTTGAACTCACCGTATAGTACAGGCCCTGGTCTGGACCTAATTCTTTTTTTGTGCTAGGGCTAGGCTGTAAAGTACAGGGCATGTTTGCTGCCAGCCTCTAGTGGACACACACTGAATTCCTTTAAAAAAAATTAAAATCTTCAACTCCTGTTTGTGATCCTCAGATCCCGTACCTGGGCTTCTGCTCCTGTGAGGAGCAGGGAGACACGGGGGTGTGGCAGTTAGTGGACCCTCCCATCCTCCCCCTTACACATGGACCTAACCACAGCTTTGACTGGAGAGAGACACTTCTGCAAGAATGACACCCGCCTGGTCCGCCCAGCCTGAATAACTGTACTCTCACAAGTTTTTGGACCACTGGATCCTCTCTGAGAGACTTCCTGTCTGAGGACGAGGAGCGGAGACTCAGCCAACAGATCGAATCCCTGATACCGAGACTGGTTTCCAACATTCAGCAAAATGTTCTCACTCAAATTTTATTACAATCTTTTTTTGCTCCAGAATAAGAGACATGTCAGTTTGGGTGTCATCTGCTCTGAAAGCTGGTAAATGATCAGCCCGGTCTCACAGTTTGTGAATTAAGCATGTTTTAAAGTGTGTGCAGAGTGCGTTATGTGAGAAGTTTTAAATACTTGAATGTATAACGAAGTGAGAAGGACTGCTGTATCTCGTGACACAGAAGTGATTTAAAATGTAAAGCATCAAAAAAGCAATATTTTAGTTCCATGCTGTGAAGAATCAGGTTTTATTTTTAATTCAAAATGTAAGTTCATTTTCACTGTTAGTTCACTTAATCTGGTAGTACATTGTATGATTTCATGCATCCGGATCCAGCCTATCTATAGTCTGTGGTTTAAATATTCAGTAAATGTTAACATCTGATGTTACATCACAGCTCAAAGGGCGGGTCAAAGGAAGACATTTACAGGGGGAAAACAAATGCATATTTTAAAAAGTTTACTTTGACCCTCAGCTGAAAACTTCAGGGCTCCTGACCAGGATCAAATCATGACAGGGCATCCTTTGTCTTGCTTGCTCATCCTAAGGGTTTAAGTGAGAACACATTTGTCTACAGCACGGACTCACCGGACCCCCGAATATAATGTGACCCTACATAACGTCTCTAGTAGCACATCCAGTATACAGCAGTGTCTTCTCTTGTCAATGTAGTGTCTGTACTAATAAAAAGGCAGCAACTTTTAACAGCACAACCTGCACTATAGACAATCATACAGTAGCTCCAGCATATTTTGAAGTGTGTGTGTAATAACTGTTCAAGGGTTCAAAGTAGCTGTAAATACTTTGAGAAACGTCTTCCTGCGGCATTTTCCTTTTAAAATGTTTTAAGAAAATATATTGTAAGAAGAGAGAAGAGGATATTATCTTCTTACCGCATGCAAGAATTTATTTATGCTCGGTATCTCAGGTGTTGACTGCAGTCAAGACATGAACGTATTATGCAGCCTTGAAAAGTGTAATATTGAATGTCTGTTTACTTGTCAGCAGGCACGGTGTTATGGGCGGGCTCTAAGGGCCTGGGCTGACCCTCTTGTAATGTCTGCTCACCCTAATGACTGAGAGAAGAGACGTTCCTTACTTATGCTTTTATAGATTCATATTGGAATGCAATTTAACATCTAAAATAGCAGTTTCCACTTGAAAAAAATGTGAAGACTATAATTTGATTTCTATCATATGTGAAGTCATGACCAATCAAATCAGGCCATTTTACGATACCCAGTACAAAAGCTCGTAAAACTAGCTAGGCGCGCTTAGCTTGCACATCATATTACTGTACAGATTGCTCCTTTAACTTTAACCCTGGTTAATGTCAGTATATAATCACAAAATAATTGAAGTCTTCTGTCACCTCATACATCTCGTCCACAGTGACTGACACCGCTTGTGAGAGAGTTTAGAGGCATGACATTTTTTTACAGCCTAGTATTAATACATTTCCTTAGACTGACGATTCCTAGAACTTATCGTAGGAAAGACAAAGGCTGCCTCGTCTTAATTTCTATATTTTGTCTTAAAAGTACATACAGACCTTATGTGTTGACATGAGCTCATAAACTGCTCTCTCTCTAAGTCGATGCAGCTCGCCCATCAACAATAGCTTTCTCCCTCTCTGCTTTCAACATAAACAAATATTAAACCATTAAGGTCGTCAAAAAGGAGGGCTTTGTTAAAAATAGATGTTAAAAATATGATGTATTGGTTTTTACCATCCAAAATCAGGAATGTTTCTTATATTGATCATTATTTTTGCATTTGGTAATAAGGGCAGCATGTTTTATTTTATTGTGTGTCAATGTGCTTTAGAAAGTTAGCACTATAAGAAATAGTCTATAAGAAATAATAGCTATGAGAAGGGGAATTCCATTTGACCTGGGCCCATCCAAAATCGGATCACTACGATTTTCTGTGATGAAATCAGGAGCGAAGGAAATAAGGTTTGGAGTCACTGCTTTCAGTCATAAACTCTTAAGGGGAAATGTTTACTAAAGTAATAAGAATGTTTGGATGAGGGTGTTTTTGGTGGGTTAAGCCCTTTTCACATGCAAAAAAGCTCCTGAAATTGTCACAAAATGTTTGTGCTGAGCTGCATGTGTGAACACAAACAGCCACAACTGCTGTGTTTATTTTCTGAACATAAACAGCAACACTGTGTACATCAGTCAATTTAAAGTTACGTCTTTTGAAATCTGTTGATTTGTCTTGTAAGATGTAGTAGGCTTCATGTACATTTATGGTAGTTTGTAATTTATCTTCTGTTGTGTTTTCAGCGTTGAAAAAGAAAAAAAGCTGTCCTTTGTAAACAGCTCTATATTTTGAATACTCCTCGGGATCCAGAGGAAAAGAAAGGAACATATCGTCGTGTGATTTGTGGGTAACAATGTTTATTTGCAGTTTGCTTTTGTTCTGACTCGACATGAAATAAAATATTTTTTTCTACAAAGCAATAAAACCAACATACCTTTCTTTATCTCTCAGGTGGGATGTTTACCGTGTACTATTGTTGTTTAGCAAGGCCTGAGGTCAGCTTGAAGTGTGATCACAGCTGGTGCCATGTCTATTATTAGTCCTGCATTAGATGGACTCAGGAGGACTCAGGGAACTTCCAAAGTCCAGGAATGTGCAGTGCTGGTTTTGAACAAAAGATGCAATAAGCAAATGCAAGTGATTTGATGCAAGTAGCTCTTTGCCACTTTCATTTTTTCAAAGTAGCTCTCAGATGAAGAAAGGTTGGAGACCCCTGACTTAAAGAATGAAAACATAACTAAAAATACAAATGAATAGAAAAGTAAACAACAAAAGAAGAACAGTCAGAGGTTCAATCTGGATTTAAAACCTTTATAGTTTGTATCTCTTAAACTTGTTTAGTTTTCATTTAAGTGTATTTTAAGTTATTCACTCATTCATGAAGATAACAAAACATTTTGGTTTGTCTTCTACAGAAATAATCTACATTTATGTTTGAATTGCTAGTATAAAATAATTGTGTACTTTTTTTTAATTCGCCATTTAATTTTTTAAATTATATTCTAACATTGATGACTTTAATCTTTTTCAGAAATAAAAAAATAAAATGATCCTACAAAGATCTTGTTTATACACAATTAAAAATAGGATGTTCTAAAGTTCAACACAACCCCCCCACCCCCACCCCAAAAAATAAATAAAAAAATAACTTCATTACCGGGGTTAATATAATTTATCTTCTTCTTAAGAATAGCACTTGTCTTCCTTCCATTGTTAGTCAATGATGTCATTTGCAAAGCGATACAGCCTCATTTGCATAAACATCCCAGAACTTCACAGGAACCCTTTAGTTCCTTGAAGAGAAGTCCCTGAACCTTTTAGTTCTGGGGGCCCTGGGTCGAAACGGGGCTATAGTGTCTTCTGAGGCACTGGTTTAATGTTGGATTGGGTCAGATATCAGGTTAGTTTAGTAGACATACACACTCACATCAGCTTATGTCTTTGTTTAGGAGAGCTAGGTTAGGGGTGCTGTTCATATGTTGTTTGGTTTGGTTAGTTGGATTTTCTTTTCATTTTCTTTTCAACAATTAGACTAAGTATGTGAAACTTAATTAGAGTCCTTCCGTTTTACAATGTTTTATTTATTTATTTGAGCAGATCTCGTTGGCCCTTTCAGTTTGCCTCTTTCTTGTAATAAATAACTTGAATTTACCAACGCCATATGGTTTTTATGTTGCTTCCTCATGAGCCAGGTCCTAACAGAGCCTCGATTAGGAAACAAGTATAGCCAGGATTTAAGGGCAACCTGTATAATGTAGCTCTATTAATGTAGGCTATGTGTGGATATATTGGGATTTCTTTTTAAATATATATTTGTATTTTAAAGTAAAAATAAGCCTTTTCCTTTTATTAATCAATTACCATCCTGGTTGATCTCCAGCTGGCAGTAAATAGGCTAATCTGTGTGCTTTATAGACTATATGATGAATTCTAAATGTCTTCAACGATATCATTTTTTTTTTGGTGAGGGGGGGAATTTTGTTGAAGCTGTCCTGAAACAAACTCTTTCTCAACCTGCCCTAAAGCATCCATGTTAGTTATTGTTTCTTTATAAATATCCAGTTAATAGAAAAGTTACATCTTCATCAGTTTGACAACATGTGGGTCATTTAGAAGCTGTGATGCACAAACACAGCAGAACCAGAAACCAAAATACAGAGAACACACCATAAACATACTGTGTCTTTAATTTATTACGATTTTTATTACAACTCTGTCACCCATGGTTCCAAAGTGTGGGATGCGGTCCCCTGGTGGGCCTCGAAGTAAAATGCAGGTTGGCAGCGTGAGGGTATTTATGAGTCATGAATAAGATCTCTTTATTTAAATCATTCTGTATGCATTTATCTTGTTTCTTCACAAACAGTTATGTGCCTGAGGTTGAATTATTTATTTGCACTGCATCGTTTACCTACACTTATAAAATAACAAAATGCTGAGTCATGTTGCCTACATTTATACAAGTTACAGCCTGGGATACATCAGGACAACTTAAAAAACAGGGCTTTAGCTTCTCTGACTCAGCATGAAGTCTAAAGGAAACAGACGATAAATATTTAAGGATGCAGATTTTTAACAGCATTCCTTATTGATACAGAGATTTGACTAAAAACATCAGACAGATTGAACCAGCAGGTTATCAGAGAGTGAGGATTCTTTAACAGCTGCGACTATGATTGAAGGCAGTTTGGTGTTTCTCTCTGATAATCCCAGTAAGGCTTCATGGCTCAGGAGAAGGTTCTCTATGTAAGAACAGGAGGGAACAAAGAGCCTGAGCGCTACAGACTCAGTCGTTTGAGCAGCAGTGAACCACACTGAGCGCAGCTTTGGTCAAAGTCGAGATTAAAATCCTAAACCTTTACCTGCAGAGCTCACAAGTCAGGAAGTCAGCGTTCTCTTAATAAACGTCAAACATGTGATAGAAAAAATAAACTGTGGAGTTTATTCAACATGATGCAGAGACAGACACGCCCCCTCCTCCTCAAGACACGCCTCCTCCTCACAACACGCCCACTCATCCAATGGCCCGCCCCTCAGCTCGTGCAGGATTATCTGGCGTCATTGAGCTGCCTGGCTACAGTCAGGATCTCTTTGGCTCCTTTGCTCAGCAGTAAGTTGGCCAGGTCTGTCCCCAGTCGCTCAGCCCGGTCCTGGGCTTCACCAGAGATCTTGCTCGCTGTGACTCCCACTCGCTGGAGCTGCTCGTCCACCCCCTCCAGACTCTGTCACACAAGTTATGGTTAAAGGTTGGCTAAAGAGTGAACACATATCACATGTTTCTTGGGGTCTCTACACTTTGCACTCAGCTGTTACCTTTCCAGTAGCAGTGATGCTCGTCTGCATGGTTTCCTTCAGACTGTCTGATCCGTCCAGACTGTACACGGCCCCCGTCAGGTAGAGCTGGGAGGAAAAAATCAAAGTGTCTGAGCTCAGGAGCAAAAATAATGAGCAGGAATTTCAACTTACAGAGTCTAAATCACGCTTCACACTGCAGCCAAAGTGACCATAATCACATATTGTTGCTCATATTTGAATCAGATGTGATTTTTTTTCTGACAGTTTGAGCAGCACAAGTCACACTGGATCTGATCTTTAATAATCAGATTCATACCACCTTCATAAGCAGTCGAATCTTTAGCAATGTGGCCTGAGTCTGAATTTATGAGACTCTGACCTCACACTCATCTCAGATCTGTGCTGGCCGGACGAGCAGGAGCAGGAATCAATCACACTCAATGAAAACAAACATGGAAGACAGCTGTGATGGAGGAAGTCAGAGGAGGGACATTCTCCCCATATCCATGGGACTGAATTGAATCTTTTTATGAAGGCAGAGAATTGCTGACTGTGCAGAGTGTGGTGTTTGTGGAGCACGCTCACCTGGGAGTCCTTCAACTCAGTGTGTACAGCTACTGGAACACTGCAACCCCCCTCCTACAAAGACACACACAGTCATAATATTCAAACTGTGTTCAAATAACTGAGTGTGTGTGTGTGTGTGTGTGTGTGTGTGTGTGTGTGTGTGTGTGTGTGTGTGTGTGTACCAGGCGTCTGAGGAAGGCTCTCTCAGCTATGCAGCGCAGCACAGTGTCATGATCATGGAGGACAGAAACCATCTCCAGGAGGTCTTCATCTCGGGCTCGGACCTCCACTGCAAGAGCCCCCTGAGAACACACACACACACACACACACATTATACAATGTTTAATATCAATACAATATGTTTTCATGTGTTTTGCAACCAAAAGTTTTTCTCTGGTAACAAATGGGATGTGACTAATACCTGAAACAATCATTACCATCACATAAGGTTCTGTTTAAGAGAAACGTGTTCAGTAAAGGATCTTGGCAACAACATCACAACAAGAGGACTTTCTAGTCAGCCTGGCTTCTATTAGAGAGCTAACCAGGCAGGTCATTGACCCCGACTCAACGTCAAGACTATTGGTTTGTGTTGATTCTGCAGCCCCCCTATTGGCAAACTTTTTAAACCTCTGATGTAATACAAAGTCTCTATGTACAGATTTATGATGTTTTTCCAGCTTGTAGCGCCATCTTGTGGCATTTAGAGGATGATGCAGTGTTGAATCAGTTTAGAAACAGGCTGATCTGTAGCCAACACGTTCATTCTAAACTTAGAAGATGTCTGACTGTCAGGAAATATTGAACACCCTGCAGCCTATCAGAATCGAGTATTCACCCAGGCCATGGTATAAACTCTTGTATGTAGTTTACTGTGAACCAGTCATATTGCAGCCCCCCCTGCTCATACCTGTCCAACAGCGTACATACAGTCTTCAGGCATCAGGATCTAGCAGAGGAGAAGATCAGATGTTACATGAGACATGTTACCTGCAGACTTCACAGGGACCACTTCAGACCATCACCAAGTGTTCATACCTGGCTGATCCGGTTCTCCCAGCCCATCCTCCGCAGACCGGCAGCAGCCAGGATGATGGCGGCAAAGTCGTCCTTCTCATCCAGCTTCTTCAGACGCGTGTTCAGATTCCCACGCTAAAAAACAAAACGCTCAGGAAAACAGCTGAGGGACAAATATTCATTCTGACCAGTTAGCACCTCCCCCTGAAAGCTTCTTAAACATGTAGATCAAAAGTTTCCTGCTCTGATCAGGTTCTGACTGACACCACAGAGTCTTTTGAAAGATACAATATCTTTGAAGTCCAGGTGGGGGAATCTCTTCTTCAGCTGAGCGGCGCGGCGCAGGGAGCTGGTGCCGATCACGCTGCACAAACACAATGAAGGAAGTCAAGCTGTCGTCACTAATGACCAGAGAGAACAACAAACACAACTGGCTGAGGAGACGATTCCACTGTACCTGTGTTCTGACAGAGTCTCCAGAGTTTTCCCTTTATGTTTAGGGTGAAGCACCACTGCATCATGGGGGTTTTCTCTCCTAGAAGCAGCAGCAAGCAAACATCACTGATTAGAAAGACAACCACAACAAACACTGAATCACCTCCCACAAGAGAACTGCAGCACGCTTCCAAAGTTACATAGTGCTGAAAACAGTCGACCGAGACCATCTGTGGACATGTAAGAGACGCAACTCTCCCGTTTGAAAGTTATTGCAAGATTAAATCGACCTTTGAAACTTCTACTTTAAGTTGAAAAGTGACATATTGTAGCTTTAAAATGTTCCCACAGCTGCTGTTATTACATGATGTATTTCTCCTTTAAAGCAGCGCTCACATGTTGAATGGAGACATACAGACACACTGAACACTACATGTGAGAGACTCACTTCAGCACGGCCCCGATGGTGAACCCTGGAGGCAGAGTGGTGGGAAGGTCTTTGAGCGAGTGAACAACCAGGTCGACCCTGAAGGACACACGAGAACACAGTCACATTCACACGCTGCGTTCAAGTCTCACCGTGTCAAATAATGCAGCTGTTCAGTCTGACGTCTTCAAGGCAGCTTCAGAACAGAAAGAGCGTCAACGTCTAAAGAACAAGTTGGACTGTGTTCTTTAAAAAGTCTCAACTGAACCTGAACATTTGATGAAACACAAAAACCTTTCATAAACCTTTAAACTTGTGTTTCATGACATGTTTTGTGTTTTCATTAAATGTTATACATTTTTTTGGAGAGAATTATTTTATTTTTTTTGCATTTAGTGAAATGTTTCTGCAGTTGACCTACAGGGCCACCGTACATTTAGGAAGTTATGAGCTTAAGTTAGCTTGTTAGCATCAAGGACGTCTTTGAAAGTTTCACACATTCAAAGGTCTTTTTGAGAATATGAAATACTTTTTAAAGACACATGCAGGTCCTCTGTCAAACACACGCTGGATGTTCTCCTGGATTTCTCAGAGGAAGTTGTGGGTTTATAAAAAAAAATAAAAAAGTCCCGGCCTGAGCTTGGAGCTGAATTTAATTCAGACTCAGACTTGATTCAGAGATTTCTCTGCCACAAAAATGCTTTCAATGTTTAATACTTGAGTGTGTCATAAAGTCAAAGTCTGACGGCTGGTTTCTGTTTCTCTGAAAATCTGAACATGAAATAAATCAGAAATATTATTGGATTTAAGAAACTGTACAAAACATCTTAAAGAGGTCTAAAGCAAAGTGTAAATATTATAATGTTGGGAGGTTACTGAGGTTAGAGAAAGAACTGTGACAGCCTGTAAACTCTAAGTATCCATTAGTGGTTGTGTACTTCATGAGTAAGTGTGTACTTTATCCTACACTTAAACGCTTCGTTGGGTGAGTTTTACATTGAGGTTGTTGAAGAGGTTTAACGGTTCTCAGTTGTGTGAAGCCTGCGTGCTGTCAGTCACAGATGACTCTGTTAACACTCACTCGTTCTTCTCCAGAGCGTTCTCCAACTCTTTGGTGAACAAACTCTTCTCTCCAATCTGAAAAAACAAACAAACAAACATGTTGTTTCATTTAAAGATAAAGATAAACTTTATTGATCCGCCATGGGGGACACTTTTGTCACAACAGCTCAAGAAACAGGAATATAATTATCAAAAATAACAAGAAGTTAAAAATCAAACATATGTACATCAGTTAAATAAAGGGAGAAAAAATACAATAATAGAATAATACCAGGTATGTACACTTCCTACTTTCATGTTCTCAAAGTAGACTTTGATTTGTGGTCGTCATGGCGAAACTCACCTTTGATAAAGCTGTGTCTAGGATTTTGTCTCCGATTGTTGTCATGCCGACTGAAAGAAAGAGGACACAGAGGAGGATGTTCAGGTGATAACACAAACTATATAAACCACACTGCATTTCAACACAATGCTGCTATGAAACAGGACAATAACTATTGTCCAGTGTTTCCTCTAGGTTTACAGTGTTGGGGGGGTGGGGACAAGCTGACATGCCAACACGACGACACAAACACTTGAAGGAATCTTGGTGTTCATGTGTTACTTTTAATGACAGCTGTCCTTTTCTATCAGAAAGATATCCTAAATGACTTATTTCCCTGATTTCTGACTCTATCCACTATCCTATCTCTACAATAAAGGCACAAAAAGCCCCAAAATAAATCTTTAAAAAAATAAATAATAATATATATATATATATTTTTTTTTTTTTACTTGACGGGCCGCCCCCCCAATATAATGGTAGGGGAAACACTGATTGTCTATGTGAAGAACTAACGACCTGTTAATGTAAAGAAAACACAAGAACATGGGACTATTTTTCAGTTTAGCAATCTGACATCGTTTCCCTGGAGACTCTGTGACCCCGTGTTTCACCAATTTAAATAAACTGAGCTCAATTTTGACTGTTTTCTGAAAGTCTTCCTAACTTTGAAATTAGGCCCCTGGTTAACATCCCCTCCCAAACAGAAAGTTAGCGTGAAGGGAGAGGGTGGAGGGGATGGTTTGAGAAACTGTGCCAGGTGGCGGCCATGTTTGGGTTGATGACTCTTATCATGGAGACAAAGAGGTATTTTACTGAGAGCTTCACAAAACACAATATTGTACTTTACTAATATTTCTTCAAACAGTTAACTTTTTGTGAAACGTGAAATTAACTAAAAATGTTTGATTCAGGGTAAACTTAGAATCAATGAATTCTTCTTCTTCTCTTCAACATATGACCACATTAAAAACAACGCCCTTATATGGGCACATAACAGAACATGGATGCTGATACTGATATCTCCGTCACCGGCTCGTATCGGTCCAGTTATCAGGCCGTGATGACGGCTCAACATACAGTCAAAGAAAATGTTGATGCAGCTTAAACGCCTGTGCAGGTTCCTCTGCTGTGATTCTCACCTATTTCCAGGTGGACGTCACTGTACAGCTCTTTTAACGTGGCGGCCACGCTGTCAGTCTGGATGCGAGCCAACTGGAAGAGAAGAACACAGAGGAGCTTCACGTTATCTGTTCTGATAGTTAGATTCAAAACACAGCAGAGCCTGTCAGACAGAGCGCAGGGAAAACAGTTGTCTCTCTTAGAGGAGCCTCAGACGTCCCGCTCTGCGCTATCTGAACCAGCACGGAGGCTCAACGTGTCATTTCCTCTGATTAGAAATCTGCTGATTATTTATACAAATCAAGTGATTCTTCTTTTAGTCTGAAAGTTATAAAAATGACATCACAGTTTCCCAGAGCCCAAAGTGACGTCTTTAAACCAACAGTCAAAACTCAAGAAGACAAAAAGCAACAAATCTTTATTTTCAAGAATCTGGATTTAGAAACTGTTTCACAAATCACTGAAACAATTCAATGATTGATTTTCCTTCAGTCAACTAAATGCTGCAGCTCTCCATAATTCATGTTTAACCGGCACACTGAAGGAAGGTTGTCAAAATGTTCATACTGTTTTTTTTAAATGACACATGTGCTTTACTAATGATGGCTTATATTGTTCAGAAGTTTTAAAGTAACTTCTGATCTTCAGTCGTATTTTAACACAAAACTGAAGGAAGAGAGAGAACTGTGTCAAATACACAAATAGGTTGGCAACATTCCCTGCAGGAGTTTGTCTACATTTTTTGGTTATTAAAAAAAGAGTTACTCAATATTAGGTTTTGGGACTTCTATTTATGATGCCGTGGTATTAAAACAGGGTTTCCATATTGTTTGATTTTTACTAGAATCGTATGGAGACATCCCTACTCTCACATTTCAATTCAATCAGAAATCTTGAAATCTGTAAAAATGAAGAAGCCGAACTGTCTGAATATCTAAAAACTTTTTAAAAGCAGAGTTAAAGGTAAGCTTGTGATTGGAGTGAAAGTAGTACTGTACCTGGCTCTGGCGGGTCCCGATACGGACGACTCGACTGACCTTTCCATTCCCGTCCTGCCGAGACAAAAAAGAGAAATCAGACAAAAGAGGAGATTTTCACTCATAGATTTTCTTACTGATGTCCTTTAATCGCCCTGAAACACAAACGTCCTCCTCTGTTGATAGTTTAGAGGGGTTTTCTCTGCTCGCCTCACCCTGATGTACTTGTAAGGTCCTTCCTCCATAACCCTGAGTGTCTGCACTGAGCGAGGGCACTGTGCCTGCTATTGTGTCCTCTGTCTGCCTGCTGCTTCTTGGTAAGGAGATGTGCTGAGGTCATGTAGACTCAAGATACTGAACAGTGCTCTTTTTCTAACGGATTACCCCCCACCCTCCTCCTCCAGGACCTCCACCCAAAGATATCTCTGGCTCCAAAAGATAAACGTGCCAATTCATGGAGTCCGTTATAAAAGGCAGGGAGGGGTGGTCCCAGGGTTTTTGGTACTCAGAACGGTCAGTGGTTAGAAGAATTTCTCCTCTAAAACGTTATCACTGAATGTTCAACCACGGAAATCAAACAAGCTGCAACAAAGTGACACGTAACTCTGAATAAACAACATTTAAAGCACAGTTATCTGTATTGTTTCTGTGAACTTTTTGATCAAAGATCACATCTCAACATCCACAAATAAAGCCCCCATCTCTTTCAGTCCTGACAACAATAACTGTGAATAATACTTGCTCAGAACTAACTGTAGTTTTTGACTACATTCATAAGAAGCTTTAAGAGCTTAACAGAGAGAGTGCTTTACAATTCTGTCGCTCACACACAAACACACCGTCTTTCTGTCAGGATCAACTATCAGTTCAGTGTTTTTCTCAAGGACACAATATCAAGCTCAGGACTGAGCTGCCCCACCTGGGGGTTCAAGGATGACACTCTGTTCCTCCTGAGCCTCACCAGGGTCATGTAAGGCTGCAGGCTTGTTACAGGGGAAATTAAATAGAAACATCTCATAAATACCAAAAACTGATACATACTTGGACAATTTAAATCAATGAGCCAATAGAAATATAGCAATATTGTTTTTGGAGTAACATCGGGGCTGTCTGAGAGGTGTGTATGGTTCACTTAGTTTAATTTGTTTATTTTCTTTATGCAGGCCTATCAGGTTCCTGTGGGCTATATAGTTACTCTTTTAAGTGATCACTGTGTTTCATAGAGACGTTTTTCTTGTCAAAAAATTCACATTTGTTCTCTTTCTCATGTCTGTGTCAGAAGTGCATTTAGAAATCTATGAATTAAATGTTTGTCTTCTTGGCGCAAACTCACAACGTCCTCCAACATATTTAATACAGTTTCACAGTTATAATTATCTCGGTGTCTTACATTCGGCGTGAAGAAAGTTGAGCAAACAGCAAACATTATGATAAACTTTCATAGCTCTTGGATTTAAAGGCGTTACTGCCAAATAATTCGGGTTGCGAAGTTGACCTGAAAGGAGACACAAGACTCTTGTTTAGCTCCAAGTCACGTTTTTTCTTTGACTTTAAATGTATCAATTTAATCAAGTTGATTTACGTCTCTAAACTATGTTGTTGAAGCGATACGATTTCAAAGAAACCCTTTATTGTAACTGTAAAATTTGCCTTTGCTGTAAGTTTGAGAGAAGCTTCATATCTTTCCAGTCGTCCAATGGGAGAACAGAGTAATGAGACGAACACAAAGATTGACCAATCATAGCGCTCCAAACAAGGGTGAATGCGGAAACGGCGCAGTTACCTCCCATGTGAGCACTGGTAGAGCTTCATGCATACTGCTAACCACCGGGGCAATACTAGTAAAACTCACCTGAGAACTTGCTTCTTCAGACATGTCGCTGAAACGTTTTGCTCTGTCGATATTGCACGAATCAACAGCGAGTATTCCGCAACACAGACGCCATTAAAAAGAAAAGATCGCGTTGAAAACAGTCACAGCCCTCCTCTCGTGTAGCTCCACTATGAATGAAGGCTGAACTCGTGATGTCATTGCACCGGCTAGAGGTCGTTTCCTTGTTCCTTCTGTCAGTTTACTCTTTCGGGAAAAATGCCAGATGTGTAATTATTCTCCAGAAACTGTGGGAAATACTTTTTTAAAATTTTCATTCCAAGTGAAGAAAAACAAAAGTGATAACAAAAAGCTGAACAGTGGAAGTACGTATCACACAAAACATCACATTCTTTTCGGATATATGAAGAAAGAAAGTTGAACTCATGTAAACATCCAATAAATCCTCCCTTCTGATCCGACATAGATGGTAATGTTCTCCCAAAGCCTCCAACCTCAGTTTACATAACTACATATTGTGTCCAAAACAAGATTTTTTCTAATATAAAACACCATTGAAATACTAAGTAGTAACCAAAAACTTATTTAGAACAATTGAAGGGAGAAAAAAACATATAAAACAGTAAAAAATAAACAATGTGTGTTGGCATCAGTGAAAAAAGTCTAATATAACTACAAGTAGACTAAGGTTTAATATTATTAGGGACGGGCACTGAACGTTCTTGTTTTTAAGTTGGCAAACAGCAATTTTTAGATCTTTAAAGTCCAATATTTTGGTCATTTCATCACAGAAAAAATGACTGATGATGATTACAGGCAATGCTGCAAGATGTGTGAACAAGCAGGCATCCTTTACTTTGTGTTCAGATGTGTCTGTTTAAAGCCTCTTGTACATTTCTGCACACTTATGGACAAACTATAAGAAAGCAAGCATGCAGGGCTACAAAGAGCCCAGCCCATAGCGACGTTTTGAGAATAACACAAATGAGAGATGGTGCAGTGCAGGCGAGATGTTTAAAACAGCAAGAATGAATACTCTCCAAGCTGTATTTACAAACCTGTGTATACATTTCCTACATCAGACAAACTAAAGAACTGCTCATTTGTACAGTTACCTATATAGCCTATACATTCTGAACTTTGAATGTGCCTTTGTGAATATTTCATGTAGGACTATCGTGCTGTTTTGTGTTGTCTTTTTTCTGGACCTTGAGTCCATAATCAATGTTTGAATTAAAAATTGCTAGGTTTTTTTTATTGTAGATGTATTGAGGATCATAGGCAATTATAATCTTTGGCAACACTGGTTAATGCAAATACTGTTTGACGCAATTAAATAATGCCTGGCACAGAGTATAAGTGACTTATGTAAAGTAATGGTTAAATACCTTTTTTTAATGATATTTATTCAGATTATATCTTATACTGTTGGTGCATTTAAAACATTTTTGATTGACATCATAATGACACAATAAAAGTACATTGAAAGTTATCTGTTTGCGTTATTTGATTTGATCCATTAGAACGTAATTGAGGATATCTTTAATTAGGCCTTCAATTATTATTACTAAATTATAATTTTAAAAGTGGGTTTTCTCTAAATGTTTAAACCACTTGTCATACACTAACTTAATATCCAATACTACTACTACCACTACTACTACTACTACTAATAATAATAATACATCTATTATTATGTATTTTCATTATAGTTATTGATTAACTGCGTCGTCACAGGTTACACCCATCTCTTCTTCAACACAGGAGACATGTAGTTAAAGAAGAGGCACATGAAGGTCGTTTGTATGTAGTTGGCACTTATAGATTAATAAAAATAAGGAGAATTGACTGATTGATTGATTGATTGATTGATTAAATTTATTTCAGACACATAAAATAAAATCAAACATATCAAAAATACAAAACAAAATGAAAAGCACGAAAATACAATAAACAAAAAACAATGTTAAAATTATTTCACAAAAAAAGAAAAAGAAAATTACATATATTCAATTTATATGCCTGAAAAGGAGTAGGAAGAAGTATAAAACTTATTTAATCCTACCCCTTTTCCACAGCTCAATAATTAATATTTGTTATATTAAATTAACTTCCTGTGTTCCTTATAATCTCTCTATATATACAATCTATCTATATACAATTTGCTATACTATATTTATGATACTATATTTGATATTTACAATCCAATGATTTTCCATACATATATACAACTTGATATACTATGATTTTTTATAATTTATATATTTATACAATCCATAGAGCTATATCTATATATACATATCTATTTGTACAATTTGATGTACTATATTTACATTTTATATATTTATACAATCCTTATATCTTTACAGTTTGGTACAGTATGTTTACAATTATACATTTGATACAATCTATATCTATAACTATACACTATATATATATATATATATATATATATATACAATTTGATATAGGCTACTATATAGAAAAATCGTCTATGAAAGTAGTAAGAGTTATTTGTGCAACAGCTCCGCCATGTTGGCTCCCACGTCATTAGTGTCCACGGTGGGCCGATCCAGCGCTGCACTTCCGGTGGAGACGTGGCTCTGCACTGCTGCCATATTGACGCTAACAGCTAACAATCACACAACTTGGGATCGGCTGTTTATTCGCACCGAGCGAGCTGAGAGTGACTTAAAAACATCAAAGCAAGAAAACACGGGACACGGAAGATCGTCGTTAACTAGAAAGAGACCAAAATGGTGAGTGACGGTCAAACATTTACACATTTCTTTGGCTTTAATCGGGCCTAGCAATTATAATAACACAGGCTAACATGGAAGGTAAGCTAAGAGGCAGCAGGCTAGCTTCTTCAAGATCGAAATTAAGAAAATAACATCTGTCATCCGACTGTCAGTGTTAACCTTTTGTTAGGTTGCGAACATCAGGTAAACATTTAATCGAGTTTTTAACATACAGACTGAAATTTAAAGTGAGTAGGCGGTAAATGAGTGTGCAGACATTGCTGACGTCCACTTAGCTTAGCGCTAGCTTTAGCTCCTGTCACTAGCCTGATCCGAGCTAACGTTACCTGCTGTCAGATTCATGAGTAACACTGAAAATAATAGTCATAGATACATGTGTTATTATCATCATTGTGTGCCATTGTCTGCTGCATCCTGTATTCTTGATTGTCAATGTGAACTTCAAAAGTTATCTCTCCTTTAAGTTGCAGATCGATAGTCTCTGTCTTTCATTTCTAACTTTGTCAACGTGGAGTGAATTCACTTCCTTCATCCAGTTAACAGAGAAACCTACATTAATACTAAGTCTCCTGTAACAAACCACGCTGACATGTTTATGTAAGTTAATTCACTATTATTGACACAGTGTACCTGAACTGTGTGTACCTTCAGAGCTGCTGTTGACTGCAGTGTGATATTTATTTATTTATTTGTTTGTTTGTTTGTTTGTTTGTTTGTTAGGGACATATTAATGAACAGCTGTAACAATTACAGCTGTACAAATGCCAGATTATAGCAGAAGTGCTAGTTTCCATCTGTTGTCCCTAGGCAGGTAACATAGAAAGACAAATTACAAATAAAATATAAATTAGGGCTGGGCAATATATGGAGTTTTTAAGATATATGGATATATTTTCAAACAAGATATAGGGTAAGACAATATCGTTAATATGGATATAGTTTATGTTGCATTAAAATAACGTTACAGAGGTGTCAGGTCTCCTTTTTCTCATCTCACTGATGATGACTGACTGTCTGCTCCTCCTCTCTCTCTCTTTTATTGTATTTAAGGAACATTTTTATTTTATAATATTACTTTTTAAATTCACAAACAGGTAGTTTATTTTTCCATGTGTTTTCACTGTTAATAAAATACATATCGATATATATCGAGTATCCCCATTCAGCTAAACAATATCAAGATATGAGTTTTGGTCCATATCACCCAGCCCTAATACAAATACAAAGGCACAAGTGACACAAGACAATAATAGAGGTTAAAGGTTAAAGGTGGTCAATGACTTGGTTTTCTTTTATCCACTGTTTGAGGTGTGTTTTGAAGATTGCGTATGTTTGTGAGTCTCTTATTGTGAGTGGGAGAATATTCCAATATTTAGTTCCTTTGACTGACAGAACAGTCTGAATGTAATGCGTCTGTATGGGACCTCACAGTCTCCTCGGGCTGTGGCCCCGGTGCCGATCCCACTGGCAGACTTCAGTTTTATAAAGTCCTTCAAAGGAAGAGGAGCAAGTCCGTGCAAAATTTTATATATAAAACATGCATTTTTAAAATGAACAAAATTATGAAAATTCAGTAAATTATATTTATCTAAAACAGTGCAGTGGTGATGAGAACACCTCGCCTAATTCTCTCTTAAGTATCCATATTTAGAGATTATTGGTGAAAATCTAACCTCTTACAACCAAAGATTTTTTTTCGTACAATCAGTTAAGAAATAATACCAGAACGAAGGACATACACTTTACCTTTCTGAAATAGTAAAATGCAATAATAGACCATGTTTCTGTTTGTATCTAGTGATGTTGTGTTTGTAGTTAGTTTGCAGAAAGATATAGACTATCTGGACGTCTTCTCCAATTAGTTTAAATTTATTTGGTAGCAGACGATAAGTTGACGATAAGTTGTCTTACAAGCTAATACTGAGCAATGGGATGAGGTTTCCAGTCCCGTACTCACTGTTGGTTTAGTGGGTCAAGGATCCTGTTAAATGATCAAAGTTACTGTGGACGTTGATCTTCATATACCTTGTTGAAAAACCAAGCCTCTGTACTAAAGAAAGACTCAAGGCTTACAATTCTTTTGATGCACACACTATTGTAATTCACAGCCATGCCCAGGCCAGGAGTTTGAATCCTGAGATTTGTCAGATGGATTTTGTGTATTAAGGACCGACATACTGCCGAGCAAGCCACAAGGACATAGAACACATTCAGGACGTTGTTTAGACGTCTGCGTTTGGCTTCAAAGGGCGTCCTGACTACAGTATTTTAATGCAAAGGAGAGGTCGTGTTTTTTCCCCTGTGTTCCTGTTCTGTCTTCACAGTCCTTTTTCACCTATACCAGGGATCTGGCCTGCTTCTCCATGTTTCTGCTTTCACCACTGCTGAGACATTATCATGACATCAACTCCAAATTGGCCATCATAGGTCATACTTTAAG